TGTGTGTGTGTGTGTGTGTGTGTGTGTGTGTGTGTGTGTGTGAGAGATCCTAACCACTTTTTATAAAACATGTATTCAACTCATGGACCTCCTCCACAATAGTGATTGCTCTCTCCTGGGCCAACTGTTCTCAAAATGTGAAGCTTGTTGAAAAAGGCTAGCCAAATAAAGGAAACTTCCAGTGTGTTCTGGCTATTTTGGATCAGGAAAGATATATTCCATAACCACAGGGAAACATGGCTACTCTCACCTGAATGGAGACCATAGACCTGGATAATGTGAAGAATGGAATTGCATGTGAGAAAAGCTCTGGGCCCCTCCCAGTGCCCGGATGGCTGCATGGGGCTGAAGACCAAACCCATCTTCTCAGAGAAAACTCAGCAGTAGAGGCTCTTCTGCTCGGGATATTTGGTAGTGGACCAGATTCTCAGGAAACTGGGGCAATTGTGAGATGGGCTCATATCTACCCTCACATAATTCTGCCTTTGTCACCGTTGAACTCCTTACCTCACTGTTTCTGTCTACGCTCACATAATTCTGCCTTTGTCACCGTTGAACTCCTTACCTCACTCTTTCTGGATCGTTAGGCTATGATCAGATTAAAATGAAACTGGGAGAAACGGTAAGGCCCTTGTGCATTCGAAGTGAGGCTTTGGGAAGTTGTTTTCTGTATTGAATATGGGAAAGTAGAAGATGATTCCAATTCCCAGGGCTGCTTTGTGTTCCTCTAGGACTACACCTTTCAGTGTCACTGAGACAAAACCCAAGAGCAGCAAATTACCCCTGTGACTGAGGCTTTTGTACGAAAATTGTTTTTAGGGACATGTTCTTTGTTCTGATTTTCTTTGGCCCTAAGTGGGAAATAAATTCATTTTTCTTTTTTCCTTTCATTGAAATTAGAAATGGTATCTTTTAAAACATGAAATATTCTCTACCCGGTTCTGCTTTTAAAAATGCTTGTACAATACAACCCTGTTCTTATTTTTCTCGTTTAGAAATCATTTTATTGGAGGCACGTACAACTCTGATCACAATCCGTACATCCATCCATTGTGCCAAGCACATTTGTACATTTGTTGCCAGCATCATTCTCAAAACATTTTCTTTCTACTTGAGCCCCTTGGTATCAGCTCCTCATTGTTTCCCCCTCCCCCTTCCCGCCCTCCCTTCCTCACGGACCCTTGATCATTTAAAAATTATTTTTATTTTTCCATGTCTTACACTCTCGGCATGTCAGAGTATCTTCAGCAGGCCGGCCCAGTGCCCACCTCCCCGTGACGGGCCCTCAGCTGAGACAGGCGTTAGGCACACTTGCTGAGGCACTCCAGCAACTCCATCCGGATGGCGATGCGGACATGCCAGCCCAGCGGGATCAGCCGGATGAAGCGGGAAATGATGGGGGGCCGCAACAGGTTCTGGACTATGGAGGTGCGGTCTGAATTGCCGTAGAAGACCTAAAGGAAGAAGGGAAAGTCTGTTACCACCACATCCAGTGAAGGAAAAAGAAGAATGAGTCCTGTCTGGAGCGGTTCCCAGTGCTTAAAATCACAGAAGGTAGTGAAAGGCACCTTTCAGGGCATCGACAAGCCCCAGCCATTGTTGTTGAGTTGAGTGCAACCCGTAGTTACCTTCTAGGACAAAAGGACAGAGCTAAAAGCTGTCTTTTTTTAAAAAAATCTTTATTGTGGCTTGGGTGAAGATATACAGAGCAAATTAGTTTAATTCATTTTCCAATCTACAATTTATACTCCTTTTGTTTTAGGACCTTAGTTGCAATCCCTATGAAGTAATAGCACTTTTCCCACTTCCTCTCTCAATTTGTTCCCCGTTTCCATTTGAGCTTCCCTGTCTCTTTCTGTTTTCTGTGGGGACAAATGCTACCTTTTCATTTTCATGTGCTTCAGCACTCTGTGGAGCATGTTCTTTTATTATTTACTTTCTAGGCCTGTCTGTTGTTTGGCTGAAAGTTAATCCCAGGGGGATCTTTTAAGTTTGAAGAATATTATAAGGGCCATAGTCTTGGGGATTCCACCAGTTTCTAACATACCAATAAGTCTGTTTATTTTTATGATTTTAAAATTGTTTTATATGTTTTTCCTCCACTCTGCCTAGGGCCTTCTATTGTAATCCCAAATCAGAGTAGTCTGTAGTGGTAGCTGAGCCCCCTCTGGATCTTCAGAGGCCGTGGTTCAAATGGTCCATTAGTGTTTTGGACCAATCCTATATATTGCATCTTCAGTTTTCTTCATTCTTTGTTCCAGGTGGGGAGAAACCAATAGTTTCATCTTAGATGCAACTAAAAACTTGCAAACATTTAAGACCCTGGTGCTGCTCACCAGAGTAGAATGTAACCATTGTCGTTGTGGACTATGTTATACCAGTTGACCTCAATGTCCCCCAAGATTGTGGCCCTAAACCCCTAATCCCAGTGACTCCCTCCTTCAAGGGGTTTCATTATGGCTAATAAGTTGTCAGAACTTTGCCCTTTGCGTGCTTGACTCTATCCTTGAAAGTGCCTGCAGCACCCAGAAATACATGTCTAGAAAGATCTTCGGCAATACATATAGATCTCATGGTTGTGCTCCCATGCGCCCTCCCATGTCTTACGGCCACACCTTTCTCCCACGGAGAAGCTGGTGGCTTTGAACCATAGACCTTTGAGTTAGCAGCCAACCACAGTGCCACCAGAGCTCCTCCGGAGAATGTGCAAGTGCCTACCAAATCTGACATGGAAGGAAAATCAGCTCTTACATGCTTGGAGCATTTAGGAGTCACTACATAGAGACAGCTAGAACTGCACCTTTCAGCATGGGTGCCACTAGCCACCATGCAGCTATTTCAATCAAAATGAATTAAAATTACATGAAAATATAGTTCATTCCCTTCCATCAGCCTGGCCACATTTCAAATACTCAGTAGTCACATGTGATGAGTGGCTATTATATTGGACAGTGCAAATGTGAACATTTCCATCATGCCAGTGGACAAAAAGCTTTGGGGAAAAAAAACAGGTTACGCTTGTAAGAAGCATATTCTTATGTTGAAAGGATTGCCAAAGTGGTGGGACTTGAGTTGCCACTGACGTTGTGAGCCAGAGTTAAGTGTGTGTGTCCCTCCATCAATACAAATGGCAAATACATGTTGGGCTTTGGGAAAAGTTTTTCAAAAGGAACTAAAAGCTACAGGAAAGATTCTGGATGGCAGGAGGCAAATGCTCAGAGTAGGGAGAAAAGGTTTTGTTTAGTGTTTTTCGAGCATATAATGGTACAGATATACTTCAGGTGCTAGGGATGTGTGAAAGCAGTTCCAAAGAAAGCAATCATTCTTTGTACTTTCCAGAGTTAGCATACTCTTCTCATTGACATGGGAACTTGTCTTTTCCTTTGGGGATTATCTCCTGAAAACACCTGCTCTCCACGTTGGCCTCATTTACTCAGTACAAGAAGGCTCTTGTCAGGCCCAATCCTGCTTTTCTTCCCACTAGTAACCTTCACCCCACTCTAGGCTGCTTGACCCTGAACCCACTCAAAGCTGGAGCCAAGTAAAGAGAGGACGGTGGCACTGGCTTTTGCAGATTGCACAAGTGCCGGCCGGAGTGAAGTGGCCCTCGCAAACTAGAGAGGCTTCCATGTACATACAGGGCTTGAAAGAGAACTCTAGCCTCGACTTGTTAAAAGCCAACTGAAACCTTCAAGTCACAGTAAAACTTTCTTCGGTTCTTTTTTGTTTTGTTTTTAAAAGTCAATTAATCAGAATGAAAATGAAACACGATGTCCAAGTATCAAGATGTTTCTTCCTGTTACGTTCAGGCTCCTTGAAACTGCAGCCCGTGTTTATCTTGCTGTACAAGTTGTTAAGCGTGAGTACAGCACCTTCTTAATCTCAGCCACATGCCGTTATTTAACTGGACAAAGTGTCCAAATTAGTCTAGGGAAGTTTTTATACTTCAGCAAAATGACATTTATATTCCTAAACCACTATTGAGTTTTTCCTTTATTTTTATTCATCAGCTATATGTACAAGGGAGCTTCAAAAGGGTCCAGGAAAGCGGAATTTAAGGAGAAGGGAAATTTCCAACAAACTTTTTTGATATTTATATCTTGAAATACATTTATAGGAAAAATATATATGTATTTTCCAGATCCCATGAGTACAGTCCTCAGGGAGCACGACTTCAGTCCTGGGCAAACCAAAACCAAACTTCCGGCCATCGAGTCCGTCTTGACTCATTGTGACCCTATCGGGCAGGGTAGAACTGTTCCTGGTGGTTTCAAACTGCTGACCTTGAAGTTAGCAGTCCAACGGTCAACCATTACATCACGAGGGTCAAGGTTAAAAGGAGATCACGTTGCCCAGGGGTCTCCGAAAGCTGCTCTGACTTTGTAAAAGTTCCTAAGCCAGAACCTCGGCATCAGCACTGGTGGAATCCTTTTGACCATTTTATGTCACTGAAAAGGCTAACTTTCTGGATTGTCAGAAGATTCCCAGCATTCAGCCTCAATCAATAGTGAGTCAAGGCCAGACCTAGGTAAATGGACTGTCCCCTACTGGCATTAACAACAGAGCACGTGAGACCAGTGAAACAGTGTTCAGTGAACCAGTGAGTGAGGAATAGTGCACGTGGCCCATCCTGATTCTTCAAGCAACTATGTGCTGACATGAAAATTCCAACAATTATTTCTTAAGCACACAAGTGTGCCATTCATGGGCCCACACATTGCACTGGATGCCAAGGATTCAGCCAGGAAAGACTCCTGCCTGCCCCACCCTCTGAGAGCATGCGTTTGGTGGGGAAGCAGCCTGCCTTGCTACCACGCAGTGATTTGACAGAAGATGGCTGTGGGAACACAGAGAAGGGAGGCACTCAAGAGCCCAGGACCTACAAGTGGTTTGGGATGGAGGCCTGACTTACCCGGTTGTTTCCTGTCTGGTCCTTATAATAAATCCAGTTCAGGCTCTCATCGGTCCTGTACTGCACACTGTACTTGGTCATCCATTCATCGATGTCACAGCGCCCCTGGGTGAGGATCCCTGAAATCACCTTGATCTCCTTCAGATCAATTTGTAACCACTGGCTGCTGTCCTGGAACTTGGAGAGCCAGGCGCACCTGCCAGAAACACACAATGACATCAGAAGCCCTTCCCATCATGAGGGCCAGGGGGTATCATCTGTGAAGGGGATGCCAGCGCCTGAAGGCACACACCCCTCCCCCAGCAAAGACCAGCAATCTAGCCACAGTCTTATTAGCACCGAGAGGCTATCTGTAAGAGTGTCCAGCCTTTGTGATATTTGACTTGGGTCACAATCCGTAAGGTCAACAGTTGGAAATCAGCAGCTGCTCCTCAGGAAAAAGACAGGGCTTTTTACTCCCATGAACAGTTTCCGTTTCGGAAACTCACAGGGGCAGTTCTAGTCTGCCCAATAGGGTCGCCATGAGTCAACATCGCCTCTATGGCAGTCAGTTTGGTTTGAAGGACCATAGCCATGAACATTTCTTGCAGCAATTCTCAACCTGTGGGTCGTGACCCCTTTGTGAGTCGAATGACCCTTTCACAGGGGTCGCCTAAGGCCATCGGAAAACACATATTTCCTATGGTCTTAGGAACCAAGACACCTCTCCTCTATCCATTTCCAGGTGGGTCCGCCCACATGCAGACACACCCACATACGGGAGTGACGACTGTTACCCATGCTACACCATGCTTCAAGACAAAATTTCATTTATTTGTCATTAGAAATAAAGAGTTCACAATACATAATTACATATTGTTTTTGTGATTCATCACTGTGCTTTAATTAGGTTCAATTTGTAACAATGAAAATACATCCTGCCTATCGGAGATTTACATGACAATAACAGTAGCAAAACGACAGTTATGAAGTAGCAACGAAAATAATGTTATGGGGGGGCGGGTCACCACAACAAGAGGAACTGTATGAAAGGCTTGTGGTATGAGGAAGGTTGAGAACCACTGGTTTCTTGTCAGGCTCTACATGATCAGACATCTGCCTACCTCTCCAGCCTCTTCTCATTGATGTTGTAGCTTCGTTGTCGTCAGTGTCCCCAGCCACATGCTTGAGGTATCTTGCCAGCACAGGGCCCTTGCCTGTGCTATGCCCCTACTTCCCTCCCCAACCTGGCCAAGTCTTTTTTTCCTTAGAAAGCCTTCCCCGGTGCTTGAAATTGCCAAGCTCTTCCTCTCCTTCATCATACTCATCACGCTTCCTGAACAGTCAGCTGGCTGATTATTGGCTTACAGTCCATCTCCCCTCTACACTCTGTGCCTCTGGAAGACAAAGGCCTCTGCGGTCTTGTTCACAGTTTTCAGTGAATGGAAAGCACTCAGTATTGAAAAATGTTGTGCATTCTGTGCCATTTATTTATTAGCGAGTATGTAACATATACTTTTCAACATCACCTGCTTACCCAAAGCCTTGACTATTGAGCCGAGCCTTGTTTGCAGTCCATGAGGAATGCCAGCCAACATATTGTTCTGGATGGGAGCAGGTGATCTGGTCTGGAGCCAGCGCTCCTGATTCAAAACCCAAAGGTTTATGATATGGGCATTCTGGGGAAAAGGAAGACAAAAGAACATTCACATATGCAGAATCTTGATTTTGCAGACACGACAAGAAGACGGAAATGATAAGACAGACATCTTATTTGCACTTTAGAAGCTGGAGACTTGTTTTACTTGCCGGCACAGCTCACAATGAAGCGCAATCTGGAATGAGATTGAGGCTCAGCCAAGAAGACAGTGGAGAAGTCAGTTTTGCCCTCGAGGGAGTGGGGCCATTTTCACAAATAGTACACCCTCTTGCCCATGTTTAGAGACCAAGCATTTTGTGGTAAAATGTCGTATTTAAATGCTGCTCGTCTTGAGTTTCCTCGTGAACACAGGGCTAGCCCCCCTTCATGATGTCGCAGGGTCCCTAATTTGCCTCGGAAAGTATATGATGCCAATTAGAGGAACCAAACAACGGTGAGAGTCAAGAGGGGCAATTAAACATTGAGACTGACTTCCCACTTGTAAATTGCAGTTTTCTCACCATCTAATAAAAAAAGGGTGGGGGGAGTGACTGTTGAATAGGAAGGCTTGAAAGGAACTGCTTTCTCCCAATAAGAATAGCCAAAGCTGAATATTATATGCTAATTGCCATGCCGCTGCATGCTAAGGACATTGTGGAATTACCTGGTCAGAGACTGCCGGCTGCCAACTCAGTAGTCATTCTCCCCTTCTTTCTGAGGAAAGAACCCTCAATTTGTTGGGGCCAGCAAGGTGGCCAGCTAAAAGTACACTTCCCAGGCTCCCTGGCAGATGGAAGTGGCCAAGTGACACCATCTCTGGCCAGTAAGACATAAAAGTATGTCCACTGAGGATTGATTTCTGACCGAATGGTGCTTGCCTCTCCTTTGTCTCAGTGCCTAGCACATTGGTTGGCCTGGTGGCTGGAGCAACAGTCACCACTTTGCACCCTGAGGATAAGGGCAAGAGAACTCCGGAGTCCTCGGCCTTGCTACCTCTTGAGTCGCTTCCTGTCTTTAGTCTTCTTACAATGTGAATCTACCTCAATAAACCACTCTCTAGGAGGGTTCCCACTTGTATCCAAAGCCAGTTCCTAATTGGATTTCTCTAGGAAACAAACAAACAAACAAACAAACAAAAAACCCAAAAGAATAAAGCCATGCAAATGCATTTCTTTCATTCTCTGATCAGAGGTCAAGTCCATGCCTTTTCTAGGTGTGAATTTGCCTTGAGGTTGAAGAGCTGAGCATGAGTACTAGGGCATCATCACCTTTCTCCGTAAAACAAAGGCAAAAGTCTTTCAAGACTAAATGAAAGTCATCCCAAGACTCCAGAGGGCCTGCAGGGGCAGTCATGGCCTGTCTCCAGAGGCCCAAGATGGAAGGACACCTTCTGGCCTCTGGCCAGAGGGTGTTTAACCTTATGGCCCAACACACCAAAGAAATAGCTCAGCAGGGCTGGGGCTGAGGGAGCAGCATTTGTAATGTATCATGTGTCCAAGACTTAGAGAGCCCATTCGAATCATATCTCTTTCTGAAAGAGGGACCAGGAGCACTTTGGGACCGCTCCCTCCGGCCTTGTATAGCTGAATCCTCAGGGGAGCGTGGAGAGGGCCAGTTCCAGGAACTAGCCCCAGAGCAACTGGATTTTTAAAGCGCACACTTTCACAGCACCCGTTTGAGACTCTTGGCCTGGCAGGGAAGGCATTTGGCTGACGGGTGGGTTCAGAGGGCCTGGTGCCTGTAGACTTGGCAACTCCACCTCTCTAACTCACTTCTCACCTAGAAGATGAGCCCTGGCTTCAGAAAGCTGGCCCTCAGCTGGCCCTGTTGGTCATTGTGTTCTCTCAGTTTACTAACTTGTCAGATTCTACATGTGAATACCTTGAATGTCTCTGAGATAGTTAAAGTTTATTGTGCCAACCTGGCTGATGAACACATGTGGGGTTAATTGAAGGGCGGAGAGGTAAATGGCTCAGTGAGCCTTGCGTTTCTAGTTCTCAGATCTCTTGCTTTCTGATGGTCAGACCAGGGTGCAGTTGCCTTAGCCAGTTCCCTACTTCAGCTTGCAAGGCTCACTTCCTGCAAGATATCTCTGAGGAGAAGCCGCATGGACCTACCCCGATGCAGCCCTGGGTGCTGGAGCAGCCGTGTGGAGCCCCCTGCCATCCCTGAGATGCTTACACGTTCATTGATCTGGCTTTCCTCCTACAGTCAGTTACTGCTTGTGTTTTGTGAGATGGATGAGGACTTTGTGGATTGGTGTTGGATATATGAGCTAATGTTGAACTTGTGGGCTTGGGCAGCACTGGGTTGTGATGTTTTCTTGATATGCGCTTGCCTTTTATATAAAACCCTCCTTTATACATATGATTTTTTGTGGATTTGTGTCTGTAATGTACCCTGACTAACACAGCCTCCTCCAGCTCTCGCATTTGATGGGGGAACCTCTCTCATATATTTGTTGGTTTGTTGTTGCCTTTGCTCTATGGTAACAGACTTTTTCTTCCCCTCTTCCCCCTCTGTCTCCCCACGGAGGGTCACCACTCTCCGTCACCGGATTCTTCATGTTGCACTTGCTCCCCTCCTGTTTGCCCCATGCCTTTGCATTCTCTTCGGCATGAGATAAGCTAGCAGTTAAGACCAATCCCACTACCATTGACGTGTCATAGGGACCCTAGAAGTCAGAGTAGAATGTCCCCTGATGAGTTTCTGAAGCTGTCAATCTTTAAGAGAACAGATAGCTTCCTTTTTCTTCTGTGGAGTGTCTGGTGGGTTCAAACCACTAACCTTGCCATTAGCAGCCCAGTGCCTAACCAATGGGCAGGGACTTGTCAGTGGTGGTGGCCCTGGAGATCTTGGAGGCCCTGGTGACTGGCTCAGGTTACATAGTGGAGGCTCCAGACCACTGGGTCTCAGGCTAGGCTGCCCGTGTTCAGACCACACCCGCAGAAATTCTGATCTCATTGCTGTGGAGTATGGCCGGGGCGGCAGGATAAAGCCTGGTCAAGGCCAAACACCAGGGCACCATGGAGTGAGCTCGGGCCAGCTATTTAACTGCTCTGGGAAATGGGTGTGGTAATAGGACTCACCTCCCAAACATGTCTATGAGATTAAATGAATGAGGTTTGTAAGGTGCTTAGTGCCTGGCCTGAAAGTAGCAGCTAATATTTGCGTGCATAGGGTGCATTCATGAGAAGATATTGCTGTCTTCTTGAGTTTTGCATACTTGTTTTTCTCGCCAGAAATCCAATAATCCTCTACTTTATTCTGACCTGCTCCCACACCCCATCACATCCTCCCAAGAAGACCAGACCCCGTCTGTGTTTGTCCTAAGAAGTAAGAAACTCTCTCTCTCTCTGTGTATGTGTGTGTGTGTGTGTGTGTGTGTGAGAGAGAGAGAGAGAGAGAGACTGAGAGAACATGCAGGTGATTAGAGAGACTATACCTCATGGACAACATAGCCAAGTCTGTGGATTTGGAAGAGCTAGGTCTCATCTGACATGCGCTGAGTGTTGCTGAAGAGGCCTGATGGTGGCAGCCCCTGTGCCAGCGCTGTGTGGCGGGGGACTGAGCTCAGCTGGAAGTTGGCTCCCTTGAGGGAGCTGGAGCATGATGGGGCCGAGGAGATCTCAGCTATGGGTTCCCTCAGGAAACTTGGGCAAAGAGAGGAGCCACCAATGAGAAGGCTGCCTTGCGGTGGCACTGTGAGCTGTAGGGTGCCTGTGTGTGTGTGGGGGGCGGGGGCGGGGAGCGGTGTCATGTGGTCCAAAGAGAAGAGAATGGAAGTTCAAAAGTCCTCTCAACTCTTCAAAGGCCATGACAAGGAGCACCTCAAACTGGATGTCTTTTGATTTCGGCAAGCAGCAAACATGACCTTGCTAGCACTCTGGAGTAAATGACAGGCCAGTTATAGACCTCTTATTTCCTCGGCACCTCCTCTTTCCATGGTCAGTTTACCACCTGATCCTGTTTCGCCAGCTACCACATATTCTTAAGCCTCTTCCGGCCTTTATATTTTTTAGCCCCTCCACCCAGAACCTTTTCCTTTCCTTTCCAGATTCCCCAAAGCCACCTAGTAGTCCCCTGACTCTATTTTCCAGGCCTGGGTCAGAGGACTTTCTGAAGATGTTGTCCCGGCTTCAGGCCCTTTAGTGATGGCCTGCTGCCCTCAGGATGTAAAGCGCAATATGCCAAGGGCTGATTCATCTTCTGGCTGGGTTCCTCTGAATCTGGGCATCCTTGCTCTTCTTGCGTGGCAGAGAGGCCTCCCCTTAAGGCGGTTTCTAGATTTGCTGCTTCCGTTACCCCCAACCATCTGGCCCCTCCCTTGGCCCTCCCTTCACCACATCTACTCACCTGTGAGCTCTCTGCCTGCCTCCCCTGCCCACCCTAGCTGGATAAGGGTCCCACAGGGTGGCTGCCTCGTTGTGACCATGTGACAGTCAGCTTCCCATACCTGTCTTGCTGAGCAATGTGTTGGCCTCCGCCTCTGTGGCCTAGGCACTCCGCGTGTGAGTGGGAAGGATGGAGGAAGGAAGGAATCAACCAACACCTTGGGGAGCCACTTGGGGGGAGCAGAGATAATGGCAGAAACTGGGCGGAGAGCCCAGGGAGGAGGAAGTTGACTTGTGGCCCAGGTCAACTTTTCCTGATTGAGTGTAAACTAGACAGGAACAGAAATAAGAACATGGATGGCATTGAGGGGCTGTTTCTGAGATGCCCACGGATTGTGCCCCTCCCTGGTTTTCTGCCCAATGGGATGTTATTATAGCGATGATATCAGTTGCCACATGGCTCTTTGGAGCATGAATTTGCACCACTTGATTTCATCTGCATGTTAAGCCTTGCCTACCCTATTCACCTCCTCAGAGGCCCAGGGCGCTAATCTTGGCTCAACTGTGGTAAAGCCAGATCTTTACGTCATTTTAATAATGCTAAACTGAAGATTAGGTAGCTACAATGTAAGGAGGTGGTCACCTTTCCTAAAGTCGGCTCTTTTGGAAGGACTGAATCTCAGAATCCAGAGAATCTGAGCATCATTTTTAATTTTCTAATGAAGGATCAGAGGCCCTGGTGGCTAATTGTGGGAGGTGGTGGCTAGCCCCCCTTCCCAGAATCATCTTTTTTTCACGGAAGAACCAATTATCACTAATAAATCGACCATTTAACACCAAAATTGTGTTCTTTCCTTCCTGGTATTATTTGTGTTGTGAAGAAGCAAGTACACACACACACACTGGAGTGAGCACTTAAACAAAAAGAATTTCTAACTTTAAAATTCCAAGTACTGTATATACTCATGTATAAGCCAAGTTTTTCAGCACATTTTTAATGCAGTTTTGTGGTAAAATTAGGTGCCTTGGCAGATATTCAGGTCAGCTTATACTTGGGTATATATGGTACTTCAGTGTGTGCCATCTGTATAGGGGAGAGAGCTTGGGGACCAGGGTCCTCTTCATATCCCCCATGCCCAGGTGGATGGTCTCCAGGGCAGGCCTCCTGGGCATCTATGAAGCCAGTCCCTATAAGTAATCCCTATTCCCTTTCCCCTTCAAAAGCACTTCCTTGGAAGGGACTTCCAGAAAGCCTCAGTCCCCTAGGGAAAAGAACATTGTTCAACTTCGACAGATAGGGCAATGCCTTCATTTGGGGGTACCTAACTCATAATAAAACAATGTGCCATCGAGTCTGCTATGATTCCTGACGAGTCCATAATAGGCACTTGCTAAAAGAGGGTTGAACTGACTCCCAAGAGGATGGTTAGGGTTTTACTATGGGTTGGGCATCTCGCACCTCCATTTCATGATGGTATCCGCTGAGGCCATGGAGTGCCAACAGGTATCCTGAATGGAGCTGAGCCAAAGTGGTTTCCATGAAAAGTGATGACAATAGAAACGTAGAAAACGTTCCCACCGCCAGCCAAGTCGATCCCTGCTCAGGACCACCCCATGAGTGTCAGAGTAGAACTGTGTTCTGTGGGCTTTCTGATGGCTGCTTTGGGGGGAGTTGATTGCAACGCCTTTCTACTCAGGCGCCTCTGGGTGGAGGCGATGGAACCTGCAGGAAGTTTCAGTGGGGGGGAGAGCGGGGACGAGTGGCAAGGACAGTTTTATGTCAAGTAGGTTCGGAGCGGTGAAAAGAACTGAGGCTCTGAACATTGTGCCTGCTCGCTCCTTCCTCAGAGTGTGTGCTCCTGAGGCAGGAAACAAACAAACAAACAAAAAACTCCAAACAAACTAAACTCACCCTTATTTCAAAACGATAGTGGGCCCCGTATAAAAAAAACAAACCCACTGCCATCGAGTTGATTCTAACTCAAAGCGACCATATAAAACAGAGTAGAACTGCCCCCTGTGGGTTTCTTAGGCTCTAAGTCTTGTGGGGGAGGAGCCCTAGTGGTGTAAGGGTGACAGGTTGGGCTGTGAACTGCAAAGTCAGCAGTTTGAAACCACCAGCCAGCTCCTCAGGAGAAAGACAGGTCTTTCTACTCTCATAAAGAGTTATAGACTCAAAAACTCACAGGGGTCAGTTCTACCCTGTCCTATAGTGTCATTCTGAGTCAGCATCAACTCAATGGCAGTGGGTTTGGTTTTGGAAGTCTTATGGGAACAGAAAGCCTCATCTTTCTGCTGCAGAGCAGTTAATTGCTTCAAACTGCTGACCTTGTGCTGCCGAACTCATAACCCACTGCCCCACCAGGGCTCCTGTAGTGGACCCAGTACAACATGGCGATGGCCTGTTGCTTCTTTCTTGGCAACTCTGGGTGGGTTAAGGGCTCTCCTACTAGCTGAAAGATTGGGGGTTCAAACCCACACAAAGATACCCTGAAAGACCTGCCTAGCCATCTGCTGCTTGAAAACTATAAGGAACAGTTCTCTGCACACATGGAGTCACCGTGAGTTGGAATTCTCTCAATGACAACTAACAGAACCATGAACATCTCACCTTTCTCATCCCCCTTCCAGTCAGGTGGCAGCCATTGTGAGCAGTGCTGCTTCCAAAGTGGAGCATTGGAGGCCAGGGCCTCAACTCCCAGGGGCCTTTTCTGACTGTGGATGAGATGAAGCCACACTGAGACAGCAGCTTCTCCTCCAGCCTGAGTCCCTGCAGGGTTCAGTGAAGCAGAACTCCCTGGCAACCCACAATCAAAACCCAAACCGATTGCCATGGGCTCAAGTGCGATTCATCATCTAGGGTTTCTGAGACTGTAAATCCTTACCACCGACTTTGGGGCCAGGGCGTGGCGCCCCAACAGACTGGACTGGAAAACACTCCTAAAGGCCAACAAACAGTCCTTGAACTAACTACATGCTTTTCTTTCTTGTTGTGTTTTGTTTTGTTTTTTTTTGTCAGTGGTTTGTGGTGGTGGTGGTTTTGTTGGATATTGTGGCTTTGTTTTGCTCTGTCTTGTTTTTGTGCATGCTATTATCTCCGCAGGTCTGTCTAAATAAGATAGGCTGGATG